AGAAAACACTGAATAGCTGACTCTAAATAGCAAAGATGCCAAAAAGCTGAATTCAGTTTGGTTATTGTTCATTAGGATTTTAGCCAGATATGGTCAAGTTAGAGGCACTGAGGTCAAGGCTGATGCAGGAGAACCAGCAAGCATGTAAAATCAGTGAGAGGTGACTGAATAAATAACCAAGGTGTTGAATTTTGGGTTAATATTAAGGTTTTAAAACCTTTAAAACTGGTTCTGTTTATTCTACTCTTGGGAGTTTTCAGGGGTTCCCAAGATATCTCTCAAGTAGTTGTGTGGGACAAAGGGAGAGATTTTTTAAGAACATATTTACTTTCCTATGTTGGAAGGAATCCTGAGTTTAAATATTCCAAGAACCCTGGGTCTTTCCTTAGCAAACCTCCTCCCCAAAATACACTGTGTGTGGAAGATGAGTTTCTGTCAACATTTGATCTCGGAAAATCCATTCAAGAGGAGCCTTAGTTTAAATCCCATTCTGCCTGTGTTATCTGGGGTGCTGGTGAGACTTTCCTAGATCTTTTGCAGCCTCTGTGCTGGTTTTCCAGCTTCATTCAGTTTTTGCCCCAGTGAAGCCAAAGAGGAACATTAACAGAGCTGGTCTCTCTCCCTCTGTTTCTCTCAGCATTGCAGTGTTTCTCTAGTAATATGTATGATGCTATTCTCATCATGCCAGGAACCAAATATTTCTATAAAATGTAGGGGAAATGAAAACTCTTTTTATTGTCAGTGTAAAAATATGCTGAAGATATGCATGACTGAACAGGCAAATGTAACGAGCTACTGGGAACTTTAATATTGGAGATACATTGTATTGACTGACAGTAGTATAAATGGCAAACAGACCTCTGCAAACATTTACTGTCATTACTCGTCACTGCTTAGATTCTGAGGAGAAAAGAAGTCGAGAACAGTGCTACAGAGCAGTAAGAAATCATTTTAAGTGTCTCCCAAGCTCTTTCCTTTGTCTAATAGGACAGCAGATATCTCCAGATCCCTTTCTAAACACTCTTCAAAGACAGCATGAACCAATCTGTATTAGAAAAGCCTCATTCTTGCTATAGATAGAGGGGAATTTTAATAGCAACAGGACTATTACTCCATCTAAATCAATAGAGTGAGTTTCTATCTCGTTAAAGAAGAAGTGACTGTGCCTGCTGGGGCAGTAGGAAGGGAGAGAGATGCATATTAGATTAATAGCTAAATCTATAGTAACACGTAAGGATCTAAAAGTGAGATAGGCATATTTTAAAGTTCAATCCCCAAATTCCCTGCTTACCCTCCCAGTCACCAAAAGTTTTATTGCAGATTGTGTTGCAGTGTTGTTTTGCCAGTCATCCAATGCACTCTTCCTTAGCCCCAACAGCAGCATCCTCTGTCTTGGCACTTGTGAACAACTGAATATTTAGCTCATGAGGAAAACATCTTTTGGGGACTTGCTTCAACAGGTATCTCCTAATTTGGTAGAGGTATTCAGAATGCACTTACTAGAAACTTCAAGTGTGAGGTGATCACCTGAACCCCTGAATATCTTTTGATCCCAGTACAGTTAATGTCTGAGGAGAAGGAAAAGGCACCTTTTTAGTCTCTGGAAAATGCATTTTAATTGATACATCATCCTCAATTTCCTTTCTCTCATTTGAGCTTCAGGTTAACTTTAGAAGTCTAAAATTTCCACGAGAGACTGAGGGTGTTTCCAGAAGACTTAGATTTTTCATGATTAGCAGCTTCCTGAGAAGTGAGAGATGGGAATCTGAAGATCCAAACCAAGCAAGGAACTGAAGCCCATGTATCTGACATTCTACAGGGATGTTTCAGTCTTGTGAAAGAGAGTAGGTATCATTTTTGCAAGTCATCTTGCAAAAGAGATAGATTCCCCTGTTGTTATTGTTACTATATTTATTTATATAAGATGTTAAAGTTGAGCTTAAGTTTCCAGCTCCTGGGTTTAGGGAGGTGACAAGTTACCTGAGGTACTGGTATACTTTAAGGGCTAAGGTCCCTAAAATCAAGTGTTGTCAACTCAAGTATTGCATTGCACACTGTTGCTTTGTAGACAATTCCCAAGATTTCAAATAACTATTTGAAATCACAGAAGCAGAAGGAAAACAATTTAAATTCCACCTATCAGATCTTCAGCCCAGTGCAGGAATATTCTGCAGTAGCTAGTGCGGTCCTCTGAAGTGCCACTTAAAAGTGGCTCCTTATTGGAGAAGCTAAAAGTGAGAAAGACTGCTGATCTTGTGAAATGATTTCTTTTTTGTTAGAAAAGCTCACTTTGGGGGGAAAAGGGGGATGAGGGGGAGGGTGGAGAGTTTCCTCCAACCATTACAGCTCTGTCAGATGCAATATTATCCCAGTAATGATTGTTATGCCTAATAGTCATGGACAGCAACTTTATTCATCCTAGAAAGTACACAAAGGAAAGAAGCGCTGCAGTCTCCAAGATACGAGGCTTCCTCTGTTAAATTTGCCATGGATGGTTGGATTCATCAGTTTGCATGCATCTTTGACTGATACATCATGCTGGATGCTTTAGGCAAACACACTCTAATTAGTAGAACAAATAGAAAACCCCCGAGGATGCCCATGCTTAATGACATTGCCCACATTCTAAACCATCTCTAGGACAAATTACTCATTTCACGGCTGTAGGCAATGCAAGTTAATTTATCTGTATCAGTCGCTAAGTTGAAGCATTCACTTTTAACAAGACACTCCATTACACCTTTCAAGGAACCTTTACTGCACTTCAGCTTTTGAACAAAAAAGAAACTGTCAGTAACAGGCCAGACCAATTCGTGAATTAAAAAGTAATATATATTTAGAATCTATTTAAAGTTTAGAGTCAATAGATGCTGATGAATTAGTTACACATAAACACCCAAAAATCTGAAAAGGACTCGAAATGATCTCCTTTGATGAGTGTTGAGTTAGAACACAAAACTCTGGCTCGAAACAAAGGTGGATTGTGCAGAAGCCTGTGTGGTTCCTCTTGTGAATGCTTTAGTCAGGTAATTGTTTTTCAATCAATCTCAGCAAGAGAAATGAGAAGTCAAGTGTGGAGAATGGATCAAATTCCCAGGCATCTTGTACCAGTATGGTTACAGTTGTCTTATGCATTTCAGAGTTTGCTCCTCTTCACTGATAAATTTGGCCGAAGAACCTGGATTAAGCAAAGCTTGTTCTCATAAAATGAATGACATGATCATGGTCAAATGAGACCCAAGAGTCTATGACATTACTGAATTGTAGTCACCTCATTACCCAATGAACACGGGTCTTTGGAATCATGCAACAAAATATTCTGCATAGCTATGCCAACTCAAAGCTTCAGTAGCAAAAGCAGACTGAATACTGTTGCCTTAAAGACGATGAGTTGATTTGCCCTTGTACTGGCAGGGGAACGGTGAAGGGAGCAGACCGAGTTGGAGGCAGGTGACCTGGTATATTACACTGTAAAGTCAGGATTGCTCATTCTCCCTCATTCATCAGGATGAGAGGAACAGAAAAAGCAACTTGTGCTGGAAAGGCTGCTTATCCTCCCATAGTCAAACTCTTTTCTCAGCAGTGGAAGTCTCTACAGTCAGCCTGGCTCTCCAAGTGCTCTGACAGAAGCAATATAGATGGTACCCCAGCCACTGTTGCAGGTGCCCAAGCAAGCACCTGCTTAAGAATTGGATGTTACCACTCAGTGGTTTTGAGAGCTTGGCTGCCACCTCTTCACAGGCATGTGTAGAGACATTGTCAGCTGCTCCCTGTTTGCAATAAAAGGTAAAATCTTATCCAAATGCTAGCACTATCTTTGCTGAATGTTTATTTTGAGGCTGTGTTCTTTACAAACAAGTAGCATAGAGATCAAAATATAAATAATCTTATAGTAGCAAAGCTCTTGGCAAGTAACCTTTCAGGAAGTAAGTTTCACATTCTCACAGACACCTTGAAGAAACACCTTTATTTGTCACACAACATGAGAGTGTTGCTAATCAACTTCCAAAGGTAAGTTTGGAACCCAAAAATTTGCAAATCTGATGCTAGCAAATACCTTAGTAAGTTCTAGCAGGATTTCAAGCTGCTTGCTGTTTCTCATACTTTCTTGGAAGTTGTGCTTAAATGTGGTTGTATTCATGAATCTGCTATAGTCCACTCCTGGACAAAGTGATTAGAAAGGGGTTTGTGCCCTCTTGCACATCTGGCATCCTGAAAGTATTCAGGTCCTGCTTGAAGACCTTTCTGACTCTTTCCTCCACTTACAAAGCAGTAGAGGGAAGGAGAGAGAGAAGATCAGCATTTTGGGATTAAAACCCTGCAGTTAGGGACCGCAGGGGTCTAGGTTCACTTTTTCTTTTTACCACTGCTGTAATCTTCTTTTGTGGATTTAGATAAGTCTTTCAGTGTCATTGCGCCTCAGTGTGCCCTGTGTAAAAGCAAAATAATGAGCCCTGCTCTCTCCTTGCTTTCTCCTGTTTGCATCTGCTTGGGTTTTTCCGGGTGTTGGAGCAGACCTCCCGCGTTCACTGAGATGAACTGGGTTCACAGCTGTTGTGAGTGCACTCACATAGGCTGCATCTCGGGTGTGCACAGCTGCAGGCTGATGTAGAAATGAATCTCGTGTTTCTGGCACATCCACCTCCCCATCTTTCCTCCGTGGTACCCGAGAAGCTGCAACCGATGCTCCTCGCTTGCCAGGCGTGCAGCGAGCAAGCGGCTGCCTTGGTCCATCTGCGCTCATTTAGTTGGTAATGTTTATCATGTCTGCTGGTTTGGAGAAAGATGGGGGTGTGGAGGGGTGTCGAGAAATTCTTTGAGCCTTGTTATCCCTACAGTAACTATAGACCTTGGCAGGAATGCGGGTGATTAATTTCGAGTCTGTGGGCTCAGCCCGAGCGGCAGCAGCTCCACACTGGGTGTCTGGGAGACAGCAGCGTCCCCTGCTCCGCTCTTCCACCAAACCCTGTGAATTCCCTCGGCTAAGTAAACACCGCCGAGCTGCTAATCACACGCTCTGAAACAAAACAGCACTTCACTTCGGGATCTGGGCAAGATCAGACTTCCCTCCCCTCCTTTCCCCTCCCCTCCCTCTCTGCCCCCTCCCTGCTTTTCCCCTCCCCTCTCCCCGGCAGCCGCCGAGCCGGTCCCTCCGATCCGACCTGGCAGGCTCACGCTGGGGGCCGCTGCCGGCTGGGGCTGCCCGAGACCGCGCTGCCCTCCCTGCCTTGTCCTGCCCTGCCCTTCCTTGTTCCTGCCCTGTCCTGACTATCCTGCCGCCTCCCGGCCCGGCGCCCTCCCTGCCCCGCTCCCGGGCACCGCCGCCCCGGCGATAAAAAGTTGCTCCGAGGATGGGAGCGCATCTGCAGCCGCTGGCCCTGCGGCTCCTGGCGCTGACTTTCCCCTTGGTGGCGAAGGGTTTTTCCGACGAAACCTTGGAGAAAGCCGCGAAATCCGAGGGATATTGCAGTCGGATCCTGCGAGCCCAAGGCACCAGGAGGGAAGGGTACAATGAATTCAGCCTCAGGGTGGAGGGGGATCCAGAATTTTACAAGCCTGGAAACAGTTACCGGGGTAAGTTGGACATCCTCTACATCCCATGCTAACGACAATGGACGGGATGAGTGGCTCTGAATCTGTAACGTGTCTCTGCCTGTCATCTCTGGATCCCTCTTGGCGTGTGTGTGTGACTGTGTGGGTTAAGACAGGGTAATATACTCCTACGCATTACTTTATTGGGGATGCTTTCATGACAAGTGAGAGGGAGTTGGATTTCAGTGTATCACTTTACTCCCAAACATTCCTCATTAAGAGGAATTTCCTTCTCTTTATGAACCCTCTCTGCCGGCTCAGCGCTAGCACAAGATCACAAGTTGCCGTGATACAAACGGCACTCTTCCCCCGTTTACCTACTTCTGTGGGATTTCTTCCTCTCCCTTCAAACGTAACACAGTGCACAGGAGAAGCTTTAGCATTGGGAAGGAAGAAGAAGAAGCTCGGAGCTAATTGTTCTTGCCCTGAAATATGAATGTTAATATAATGAGTTAGCATATGGGCAAACAGTGATGCAGCATGCTGCCAACTTCCCACATTTTCCACTTGCGTTTATCCCACCCCCTTTTTCTTCTGGGTAAATGAACAGATGGTTCAAACAGGAAAGAGCCAGAGACAGTGCTAATGACCACTGTAAATAAGAGATGGAGGCATTCCTTCTTCCTTGAGCATGTCACATACAATCCTTGAAATGAAGTCCAAAGCACATTTCAGTGTATTTTTCTAATCAATAGGCAAAGGCAGGTTTTGGTCACTTTTCCTGCCTCATTATATAATACCTTTGGAAATAAACCTTCTTGGAATGTACTGTTAACCTTGTATTTTAAAAGCATTTAAAAAAGAATTGGGACATTTTAAAGTTCCATAACTAATGTAGTTTGTAGGCATGACTTCGGAAAAAAAATTTTGGGAGATTATTCCAAGTGTTTCTTCTGACCTTTCTTAGGTTCTGGATAAACAGCAATGTTTTCTGATTGCACAAACATGGAAATCTTAGTATAGATAGGGAGAAAAAAGTGTGCAAGTAACATAATCATTGTGTTTTCTCAGAGTTGAAAAATAGATCTGCAGCAGTGATTTACCTGTTTCGAACACCAGTCTGTAACTGTGCATGATTTTACTTGATGTATTTTCCTCAAAAAATGTTTTATTTTAATGTGGTGTGAGGAAATGCACATTTCCCGCAAGTTGGTTAGCTGTTCCAGACATTAGGATTAGCACCTTGAGTCTGAAAGATTTCATGTTGCATGTCAGTTTGATACATCTACTAAGCAGGATAAAGATGTGTCAAGTTCTTTGATAGTGACAAATGTGAACGTTCTTTATAAGTTTTGGAATTCACTTCTGTAAAAGCATTACTGGGTATTTTAAGTAATCTACAAAGAAGTTTCTATTGCATGGAGATGTAGGAAGAAAGAAATTCCCAGATGAATTAGCAGAACTAATTTTTGGGAGATATTAGGTCTTGACATTAGGAACTCAATTAATAAAATCACATTAGAATATTATAGCTTCTTGGAAGTGAGAAAATTACAGCTAATAGAAAAAAGTTAAAATGTAGAACGAAATATGTGCCTACATTTCTGATACTTTAGACTGAAGTATTCAGGTGGTACATTAGCCTGGGAAGATTGTGCTTTAAGGACACTTCCTGAATGGTTGGAAGAACATAAGTAAATGTTACTGAAACATATACATTATCTATGGCAGTAGTTAAAACTAACTAGCATGCAGAAAGTTTTAAGAGCTCGTTTTCAAAGGAATTTCTGCAGTACAACTGGAATTTTATTACTGTTTTATACAAAGGGTAGAAAATCCAGCTAATTGATTCAAACAATTAGATATTATGACAGGTCTGCATTTTTTTTTTTTTCATCTGCAAATTACTATATATGCAACATGGCAAAAGACTTGCACAACCTCCTTTGCCTTGGAGCCAAATATGCCTTGTTTCCATGGCCCCTGCTTGATTTAATGCAATCTTGATCCTTGGAACATTCCCTAGTGGGCTCTTGGAATAAACTAGTATTTTCAAGGTGGATAACATAGGAATTAACTGTACATGCAAATGTTGTACTCCCCAAAGTGTGACAGTAGAGGGTCATCCACTTATCTTCATGATGGTCTCACTCATGTGTTGATGTGACACTTGTGTAAGACCCTCTGGCTGCAGTGGCTGGAGAAAATATCTCAGCACTCTTGCAGTGTGGGAATCAGACCAGAGTTCACAGCTGCCATTTGTCTTTGGGGACGTTTTTATGGCTCTCCTGCAGTTATTCACCTTTAGATCAATCAGAACCTGTTTGCCCCAAGGGGAAATCCCGGGTGTATCTGTGTGTATGGAGCTGTGAAGCCTTGGTTTTCCACCTCTGGAGCTGTGATAGAGAACAGTGGCCCTGAGCACTGAATAACCCATCTGAGTGGGTATGCACCTCCCCTGGTCTGCAGACACTGGCAGCAGTAAATAAGGGGATGTTCTCCTGTCTCAGATGATTAAAAGTGAGGTAACAGCAGGGCTGAGGAGCCATCCTGCTTTTCTCCCTCATGTCTAACAAAGCAACAATGGCTATGGTCTTCGTGGTGTCTCCCAGGGGAAGTGGCACAACTGATTTCTGACATCTTATTTGGGACTTCTGATGCTGTAGCCTGCAAGTGGCCTTATCTGCCTGGTCGTTCAGGCTGAGAGGTTGTTGTCTCTCTCCTTGTGAAGGCAGCCAAATGCATTTTGGTGGGCAGGTCTTCCTGTAGTCCCAGGTTTGTGGGCACACCATCCTGGGGTCAAGGTCCTCTCCTATCTGCTGGTTGAGTTTGACCTTGATGTAGATGCTCTTGCTTCCACTGAAGGTTAAAGTTCCCATTGTACTCAAAGGCACAAGTGAGCCTTAAGTTTAGGTAGTGTTACAGGGTAATGATCCTTGAAAATACTCACTCCTAGCTTTATTGATTGTTTGAGTTAGATTAATGGTTGCATGAGGTTTTCATGAAAAGGTGAGGCAAGTTTAATCCCATTAAAACATAAAGACACTATGGGCATTTCACGTGCTAACATGCAGTGGACGTACTTTCCACTATAGTATCATGAACTTGTTATTTTGAAGAAAAAAAGGGCGACTTGAACAGTTAAAATCCATAGACACACCTTCTGTGTGGATGCTGTTTCTCTTTTTAATGGAATTTCCACTTGTAGGTCAGTTCACTTTCTCAGTTTTTGAGGAAAGGCTCTTTTAATGTGCTCTTTTGAAACTTCATTGCGTTGGTTTGGGGGCTTCTCTTCTAAGGAATGTTGAGTTTTTTCTTTCCATTTCTTTCTGCCGCTCAACATGCAAACACTTCTCTATACTTTACAAACAAGCACTCATCCTGTAACTCTTTTAGCCGTTCTTATTTTTCACAAAATATGGATAAAAGTAGTATTTAAAGTGTATTTGTTGGTGCTTGTGCAATGTACGGCACAGGATGTGCAGTAGTGTAGGATGTGGGAAGTCAGATTTCCTGCCTGAAACCAAAGGAGCAATTGCTTTGATCACCCCACCTTTAGCTTGGGACACTGGGGAAAGAGGAGCATGTTGAAGGTATGTGCCAAAGTGCAACTTGTAAGGTAATTAGATATTTGCTGGAGGGGATGGAAGCAGACAAAAGTAACTGCTGATATGTAATCTTCCCTTTAAAGTAAAATCCTTAACTTTGAGATTGCACAGATCTTAACTGATCTTTACAGGAAGTTCATATTGTTCAGTGAACATTAATTAGTGTGAACACAGTGTGAGCAATACTCAGCTGTTGTTTAAAATGGCAGAGTTTAGCACAAGAAGGAGAACTCTCAACTCTTTTGCAACAAAGAGCCGCTCTCTTGTGAAAACCAGATGTGGTCTGACAGCTTCCCACAGCTGCCTGAGCAGTACGAGCCTCTGCTGTGCTGAGACACTGAGGCCAGAGCCAGTGACTACAGAACCATCACCAGAACAAGGCTCTGCATTAGGAGTGCTGGGAATAAACCCTTGTGCTGTGATGTTCTCAGCACACTGCTAGTTCAGACAATTCACAGAAACCTTTTCAGCTCAGGTGTTGACCTGTGTTCTGGCCTAACTCAGCGGTGACCAAAGCACACATCCCTCTTGGCATCCTCGAGCTGAGGTTGCACAGACACTAAAATCCCATGAGTGCACTCTGCTCCTGGAGGTCTTTACCCTCCTGGCTCCTCACTTGTATCTGTGTGTCCCCAGCGCTGGCAGAAGCGCTCCCACGCCTGCAGAGCGGCCGCTCGGGGACTGGACCCAGCTGAACTCTCCAGTTGGGGTTGGCTTGTTTTACTGCTCAGCTGGATGTGTTCCCTAGTCCAGCTGAGAGCACAGCTGCCTGGATGTGGCTGCTGTGTGAGCAGTGCAGGCTGGGGAGGGTGGGATGTTGGAGGAAGCATGGATTTATTCTGTGTTTAAATGACTGCAACCACAGCTTGAGTATTGCTAACCCCAGGCATCCAAAAACTATGAGTCAGGCTTTGGAATTACCTTCCTTTTTTTTTTAATTTCTCTTTTGATGCTTCTGTTGGATTTCAGATGTCCTCTGTTTTACAGATACATGTTTGTTTAGAATATTTAGAATTTTGAAAACTGTTTGGTTTGATCTGTAAATTGGTGAGGAAAATGATGAAAACTGTTGAGTCAGTTCACAGCTGGATTCTCTGTTTGCTTGCATATGTATTTAAGTATTTTTGGTATCACTTTTTACTCATAGTGATTCAGACTTTTGAATTGCAAATGGTATGGAAAAATTTGTTGCATGTACAAGACTTTTATGGCAGTTAATTTCTAAGAATTAGTGTTCAAGCAAGAGTAATATATTTGCCCTTGTTGGGTTTAGCAGTGTGCTGTTCTCAGTTACTGCAACTGAGAGGCTGGCTGTGGGTTTTCATTAGGGTAGAGCTGCAGAAGTTTACAAAATTAGACTAATCATACAAAATGAATTAATGAATTGGAGAAATATTTAGAAAAGTAAGCAGAAATTTTAATGGTGGAATGCTCCTATGAGTTTCTGTATATAAAATGTGAAATTTTCTTTCTCCCTCGAAATTATAATGTTTAACCTCATAATAAAATTCCATGGAATGAAAACTGTGTTGAAAATCCTGAGAGCTGGGGATTATGTCAATCAATACTCTGAATTTGTATTGGTGTTTTCAGGTGTACAGGTCTAAGCATGGCACTCTCAAAAGGTTAAAAATTGAAATGAGTCTCTCCAATCCTTTTTTTCTCCACGTATAACCAGAAAAGTTATGTATTTGTACACCACATCATGATTTTTAGACCCAAATACAGCTGCATAATGGTAGAAATTTTCAAATAGCCTATTCTATATTTTTCCACTACTGAATTTCTAGATCAAAGCTCTCTCGCTGTGTTCCAAAAGAACTCTGGGCATATTTTGAAATACATATATTTTGAGGGCTACCTATCATTTTTAGCAAGGTGATTCATCCCCTCATGGCCTATCTGTGTGAGAGAGAATCTATTCTGGATAACCTTCAGTGAAGCAGCACTGGTGGTTGTGGTTTGCTCATGAAAACTGTGTGTGGTCTTCAGTTTTAATTGTGCCAGTCAGAGTTGGAGAGTGTGACAATAATGTACCACAAGCAAAGCTGTCTTCAATACGCTTAAAGTAAAAGCTACTTAAAAGTATTCATAGTTCAATTTCCTGTCTCTTTTCCTTTCATTCAAAAAGAATTTTCCCCTAAAATTTACCCCTGCTTCAGAAGAGGATTCTCATAAGTTGTTGAAAAGGGTTTGGCAATTTCAGAAGTCCTGCTTTAAAGTCCTGCCTCATTATGTCTTTCTGAAAGTGCTCAAAAGAGCCTCAGCTGACGTAACTCAAGTGTTGCTGGGTGCTGCTCGAGTGCTGATGATGGGAAACAGAATAATTGTACAAAGGTATCTTGCACTAGCAGAAAATGAGGGATTTAATCCTGGTGCTGAGCATGATAAAATCAGATTAGTCAGCATGATGTTATCTGTTCTCTCGAGGTGGATCTAATGCTGCCTTCCTGGTCAGGACAAGTGAGTGAAGAGTGTGTTTGCTGATGTGTGGGATGGTTTGGGAATCAGAGCTGGCAGCACAATCTTTAGAGGTCAGCTTTAGCCATGAGTTTAACTTTGTATCCTGTTTTGCCCTGAGGATAAAGCGAAAGAAGGAGAGTTAAGATCCCCCATTTCCACCAGCTGGAATGCTGTGCTGAGTGTAGCTGAGATGAAGTGGGCAATGTGGTCATCTCCCATTACATTTAGAGAGACTTTCTGTGTACTAAAATCCCTGGATCCTTGTCTGTGCTCAGAGCAGGGCAAAAGCTGAATGCAAATATTTAGGAAAATGCTCCTTCACATTTAAAATGACAACAAAAAAACCACCTAACATGTGTCTCCCCACCCCCCCCAAACCAACAATGAAATAACCCTCTGTAGATCTGAGCAGATTATCAATCTGCTTTTAAAAACAAAAGAGATGGGGTTATTTCACATCATGCCAGTGTTTTTCAGTTTATGTGGAAACTTGGACTGAACATTTTGTGTTCTGGTTGGCTTGGCTCCATGTTGTTAGTGGGCTAGCTTTGGTTAATACCAACTTAAAACACACACCTTTCAAGCTGTGAAATGTTGTGCAAGTGGCTGATTTCACAATTAATATCATGTTTTCATTATTTCTCTGTTCATTGTATCTCAGTGACACTTTCCGCTGCCACCCCTGCTTACTTTCGAGGGTTCACACTGATCGCCCTCAAGGAAGGAAAAGAAGGTGACAAAGAGGAGGACCATGCAGGAACTTTCCAGGTGAGATAACTTTCCCTGACCTACACCTCTTGGAGTCTTCCTTACTGTGTGCTTGGCTCAAAGGGAGGTTTTATATGCACAGCAGAATGCAGACTATGCTAAAGTAAGCAAAAATATTTGTGGATGTTGACATGAGAACAACATAGCATGTTTTATATTCCATGCAACCTGTTCGAGGGATCAAAGCTCTTGTACCTTGACTTCAGCTTGCCTTTCCACATTCTTGTAGTTAAAAACGAGCGTCAGTTATTTGAACTGGAGCCTAGGACACCTGAAATTGTTATGCAAAGTGAATATGAGAGTTGTTCTATTCACATTTTGCTTTTTGTAGTTCTTTGCCTTGATATTTTTGTCCATTGTGGTGTAGACTGTGACTCTGAGAAGTGATTGTCACAGTTGTAATGACTGTTTTTATCAGTCATAAATTAGATTCTGCTGTTTTATTTGTGCTCAGTAGTACTTTACTTAATGAACACATTCAGTAGGATGAAATGTTTATCATTATTAGAAGGATTAAAATCCAGAGTGACAATTCACAAAATGGTGTTTTCAGCTACTTCATGAAGGGAATTCTGGAAATTGAGAATATACATCATATTTATGAAAGAAGGTAGAAATTATGGAGATAGGTTTGATTCTCAGATGAGATATTGTTTGCTATTTGACTTTCCAAGCTTAGAAATATTGTTGAATGATATTGATTATATTTTACAGGATACGTATTGATATTAATTTTAATAATGATTTCTAGATAGATTTCATTTGCTTCAGAGAAGCATTTATATATTTTCAAGGGAAATACTCAAAAATTGTAATTTAGGTGATCTACAAGGAGACAGAAATAACTTAGCATGTCTTCCTGAAGCTTCTTGTGTATTTTTATATATTTTTATTATTCTATAAATATGGTGCACAAACTCAATAAGTAATGGCCCTGTTTTCCTGTTGCGTTTGCTTAGAGGCCTCTGTCCACTTTTCATACATTTCATAAGAAAATCTAGAATAACTGAGAACTTAGTTGATGATGGAATAACTCCGTCTTCCTCAAAATTAAATAATTTCCTAATAATATTTGGGAGAAATCTACTTAATATGAACTTAATAAAGTTGGGTTTTTTTTAAGAACAAGAGAGCATTGAAGGATCAGCTACTGTTTAGAAATAGAAATGGTGGTGCTTCATGTATTTTAAAAGAAACTCGTCACCATTAATTTTCTCATTTCAGTTTTTAATGTCTCTATGGCTGTGGCTAATGGGGAAAAAAATTGGCCTGAGTTTTGCCTATATGTCGAATTTGCAGTGAGACACTCACTAAGCTTTGCTGAAGTACAGAGGAATTTTGAAGTTATCAGAGTGGGAAGCAAATGGAAATTCTACATGGATTGAAAAAAAAAAAGCCCAATGGATCTCAGTTGAGGGAAGGTTGTTTAATTAGCTTTATTGTATGGATTGCAATCTGAACTTGGTGTTCTAATTTTGCAGGTGGGAGTTTCAAAGTTTATGCATAACTAAATTTGTATATCTGTGGCACAAATAGTCCTTGCTGTGCTCGTCCCACATTAGCACAATTAACTGAAGTTTATTCAGATGGTGTCTGCTTGTTCTGCCTTTGTGGACACAAATGTAAGATTCTTATTTAAATATCCAAAGAATGCTTGCAATCAGAAGTACTTATGTCCTTTGTATCATGGCTAGGTGCTAGTAATTAGAAGAAAAAGATATTTAGTTCAAGGGTTTGCCCTGTTTTTCTATTATAAAGTGAAAATCCTAAGGATGGCTAGACAGCTGTGCAGAGTAAGGAAAAAACTGTGTGTGCAGTAACTTGCATGCCACTTGCAGTTATGTTTTTCCTGGGCTCAGATGGAACATATGTTAATCAAAGAGGTACCTAAGTGGAACAGAATGCAGTGAAAACTCCTCAATAATGACAGGAGACTAAATGCTGCTTCTGGACTACAGATATAAGCCTCTGCCTCCATGAGGAGAAATATATGCTGTTAAAATTGATGCCTAAAGAAAATTCAGGGAGAAAAAAAGCTCTGAGGCAAATTAGTTTTGGAGGTGAGATAAGGAAAGTGTTTTAATTTGTGCCTAGGCATAAGGGTACAAGACGTGCGTACCCCCCGTGTACAGATGGTACAATTTATAATACTGCTTGTCCAATCCCAGGTTTTGTCCACCCACTGGCTCTTGCCCTGGACTACCCTCCACCCATCCCTGAGGTGAAGGTCTTTTCGGGACCCTTTCTTCATCAATCCTCCTCTTCTTCAGAGCACAAAGGGTACACGGTCACTCAGAGTTTGACTGTACTCTGCAGTTTAGGCTAAGATACAAGTGTTCTCCAAACAAAATAGGCCTACCTTGACAAGGGACTAAACATTTCTATGGGAATTCAGGGGGTAGAATTGATATGGGGAGCATGGAATAGGGTAATAGGGTTGGGGAATGTGTGTAGTTACTATGCTAAGGGTAAGGGAATAAAGGCTGCTGCTTTTAAATCTATTTGTACTATATAAATACTTATAAAGCTTATAAAAATTAGAAAAATAAAAAAATTAAATGGACCTTAAGGCATCATATAGCAGTCAAAACTAAGCACTGTACGAAGCAAGTGTTTCATTCACGTTAGAAAATTTTGCAGCATAACCAAGATAGAATGAAGCAAAAGTTGACCAAATAAGACATATGCTTTCCCTCCGTGACTTAGAGACTGTAAAACACCTGATTTTTCAAGCCTGTGAGTGGCACTTCCAAGTTATGAAGTATGATTTACAAAGTCTTTCGTGGAGAGAGCCTGAATCCACAGTATGTCCTGAGGGCAAGATCCCACCTGAGCTGCGGCTTCTGTTTTGCACAGCTATTGAGTGTTAAACTGGTCGGGGGTCTAGCACCTCAAAGTACTGTAGAGGAGCATGTGCTGGAGCAGCAAGGTGTTAAATGAAGACCAACACCTGAGTTTTTGGCACAGACACGGTAGGCTTAGGCTGGGAAAACATTGTTTACAGGGGTCACAGTGGAGCTGCAGCAGGTTGTGCTGCAGCCCATTGTGAAGGCTGGACCTGCAGGGGCTCTACTCTGACTTTTACAACCTCCTCATGGCTCATTTGCTCTTGTATGACTCTGCAAGTCAGCAGGTATGGTCAATCTTCATTAATCATCAAGCTGCAGGGTCTTGATCCTGTAAATACCACAGCTGTTAAAATTCTGGGTTGGACAGGTTTCTGTATCGTTTTTAGTTAACTCAATACTTGCCATCAAGTAGAGACATTTAGAGAAGCGTGGCTTGGACTCCACCATTCTAAATTTATTTTCCTCTGAGACAATTGAGGCTTTAAAATCTGATTTTACTCATGTTTGTTTATTTAATGCAGCCAAACTTCTTTTTCCGTGTCCTTGTAGTACACACAGAGCACAATTCAGCTTTAAAATAAATCACATTGTCTCTCACAAACACTCAAACATACGTTAAATAGCTAAATTAAATATGGCTGGGGAATTCAAGATGCCAAATTCAGTCACAGAAGTTTGGCGATGTAATGAAACAGCTCTTACTTATGCCAGTGGTAATTGTCCAACTCTGGGGTGCAGTGAGGCACTCTGAAAGCTTTGGGTATTGTGTCCCATTGGCCTCTTTACACAAGGCATTCCCAACTGTTGTCATGCAGACCGCTGATCCTTCTCTTTCCTAATGTTTAGCAACAGTCTGGAAATTGTTTCGAAGGCGAATTATACTCAAGGGCAACAATCAGGCACTGATTGACTATACAACACTATCTATACAGGCCATTTTAATCAACATCTCTATGCAATGTAATAGATTCAGTCTGATAAATAATGTAGAATAATAGAGATTTAGTGCTGAACCTCATCTCATCTATCTTCCTTGTTCTCCGAGGAAGGATAAATATTCCAGGAAAATTCTTAGCGGATGTTTTGTGAATCTCTTCTGAAGCGTTCAACAACAACAACAAATTCATCTCTTCAAGTGGCCTGCTTAAACTCTTCAATAAATTATATTTTATAGAAAATTTAATGACAAAGTAGAGCTCTTACTAGCATCTAAACTGAGTCTTCACTAATAGTGATTAAATTGCTCTCTTATGAGATTGTCTTCAACTTTCTTGATATCTTATGAAGCAAGTATTCTGAACTTTCCTTTATTCTCCCTCCAATTCCACACACTCTTTATCTTTTCCTTATTAATATTTCTACATTTTCATTGTAGGGCATCTTCTTTCAGTTGTGCTATTTCTGCAGTTAAGCTGAGATTTCAGTCTTATGTTCCTCGGAATTGTACACAGTAGTCAGTCTGGACCCTCAGCATAAAATCATATGGAATTTGGATACAGTAATCCTTTGGAGTGCCATTGTCTTTATGCAGAATCCTGTAAGTGTATGCAACTTGCCTTTATTGCAGGAGTATCTGAGTATTGCACAGGAGGTGCCTGATAAAAGTCCTAAATCCTTTCCTGTAGCTATTGCTGCCTTCGTCCAGATTCCTTATTTTGTTTTATTCCTATTAAGGGTAGAGTTTCATTCAATTTGTCAAGGGAGTTTTGAACTACAATTCTGTCCTTCAAAATGCTGTTAATTCTCTCAAAAATTGGTGCCTTGTGAACGTGTTTGATGATTAAACACTCAATATGACATATTTTGTGAAAACGTGACCTGCTTTTCTCGTGTGCAGCGGTAAACTGAGTCACGAAGACTCAAAATTAGACACTTCTTTGTCTTGCCTTGGCATAATCACTTGTTAGATCCTTATGCTATGTAAACTATGTTTGTGATAGCTTAGTGTTAAATGCTTTCATCATAGCAGTGTTCTGGAGGTGTCCTTTTGACTTTTTTTAGCTCTAGAATGAATCAAAAAATTCTTAGTTTAGGTGACTGAATTTAACGACCCACTGGCACAAAACCGATGTAAGAACCTAAGCAAGTGCAGCAGTAGAAAAGGTGAAGTTTTCATTAAAGGTGTGGCTTTTATAAAAGCTAGAGATGTGT